GTCCAGCTCGAGGTTGAGCTGTTGTTCAGCATCTTAGCTGTAGAGGGCAGTGTCACTGGCCCTCATATGTGGGATCTGAACCAGGGCCCTCTGGCGTCCCAAGCCAGCTCTTAACCAACGCGCCACTCGGCCGGCCCTGCATGCCTGGTAATCTTTGATTGATGCTAGACATTGTGAATTTTACCTTGTTAGGTACTAGATATTTTTGTATTCCTATATATATTTTTGACTTCTGTTCTAGGATACATTTAATTGTATGCAGTTAATCCTTTCACATCTCACTTCTAGGATGTATTAGGCAGGACCAGAACAGTGTTTAATTTAGAGCTAATTCTTCCCCACTAGTGAAGCCCTTCTGAGTATTGTATCCAATGCCCCATGATTGATGAGATTTGCCATTCTGGCTGATGGGGACATTCCTGGCTCTGTATGAATTCCAGCTACTGTTCCTTCTAATTCTATGAGGAGGTTTTTTTTCCTCCCTCAGGTAGTTTCTTCAGGTGCATGTGCTGATCAGTCCTGAAAACATAAGAACAATCCTCTGCAGATATCTGGGGTTCCTGGCACTCTGTCCCACAAGCCTATCTGCCATGGTCTCCCTGAACTCTCAACTGTGTGTTCTCAACCCCAGAGAGTCTGCCAAGCTCTGGCTGGTTTGTATCTTCCTGGGAAACTCTCTCCAGGCAATAAGCAGGGGCCAGTTAGGGTTTGTTGTGTTTGTTTCTCATCTCTCAGGAATCATTGTCTTTCACTGCCTCATGTCACATGTCTTTAAAACAATTGGTTTATATATTTTGTCTGGTTTTCAGTGGTATTTCTGATCCCTGTTACTCTTATCTGTTTGGAAGTAAAAGTCTTCCAGAGCCAAAATTATGGAAAAGCTGTGAAAACAACTTTAAGTATTTCCCACTCAATGAAAGGATAAAAAAACTAATTGTTTAACACTGGCCAAGAAATTGAATGGTGATGGTTTCACTGATATACTGCGAGGAGACATTAAAGGATTCATTGAGAAGCAGAGAGAAACAGTAAGTACAAAAAGTTCTTAGTATCCTGCATTTCTGGGAGACCTGAGGGCTTTTCCCTGATGATTCTGACTGTGGGGCGCGGGGCTTTTTCTCCCAGCACTGACCTTTGACTCTGACTCCAAGTACAAGGGGACTCCCCAGGCCTCTCTCCATCTCCTTCTGTTCACTCAGCTTCTAAACGGCATTCAAGGGCACGGCCTGGAGCAGAGGCTGGAGAAAGCAAAAAGCTGCTGAACTGGTTCTCTCCGCCCAGACTCAAGGGAATTGGCCACTTGTAAACTGAAATTTATCACTCTTCCCCACCAAATATTGGTCAAGCACTGCTTCTCACAGCATCACAGCCAAAGCAGAAGTCTATCCTTTGAACCATTGGCCTCTGACCCTGGGTGCTGACCCAGCTGCAAACTTCTTGCCAGGCTTGGGGGTGGTGGGAGTGGAGAAAATATCAGCTACACTTTTTGGCTTTAGGGACTGAAATACCCCAATTAGTACATGTGAAACCATTAAAGAATACTCCAAGGGTAAATCCTGGATTTTCATTTCCAGACTGAAAAGGCCGACTGAGTACCCAGCACAGTGAATGGAGGGATTCCCTTACCAACATGGCACTTTGTCGTGAAATTTCCCAAAACCAGGAGTTCAAGAAATGTCCTAAAAGGTTAAAAGAGCAAAAAACATGTTAAATATCAGAGGTACAAAATAAAGTCAACCTTCTCAATATTAACCCTGGAAGACAGAAACCAATGGGGCAATGGCTTCAAAAGTCAGTGAGGGAAAATGATTTTCAATCTAGAATGATATACTTAGCCAAATTATCAAATGTGAAGATAAAAGAAAAGCATACAAAATCTAATAATAACGACAATAATATCTTCTACGCACCTTTTCTTTAGCAGCTGCTGAAGGATGTACTTCAACAAAATGAAGTAGCAAAAAAAAAAAAAAATGACAACCAGAAAAAGGATGTAAATCACAGGATGACAATTGTGCAGCCAAGAGAGCAACTAGTTCAGGTTGGAGCAGGAAGATGGAAGAATCCAGGAGGGAGGTCTCCAGAGGGAAGGAAAAAAATGGGATTGATAGATTTCATAGGGTAGGTAGATAGATGGAAGCAAGCAGGAGAGGGAGAAACTTAGCCCCGGTTAGAAAGCCCCATGCTGCAGCTCCTACTTGGGTCAAGACCCCTTGCAGCTGCCCAGCAGGATTCCAGGTTTACACATACCTCTAAGGGATGTGTTTACACATGCCTCCAAACCAAGGGGATGTGTTTACAAGTGCTCCTGAATAAAGGGGATGTGTATACACATGCCCCCTAAATCAAAGAAACGCATTGCTAAATGCCAGAAGACCAAGCACCTCAGGAAGAGAAAGAGAGATAAGAGAAGGGAGATGGGGAGGCAATTCTACCCATAGAAATAAAAACCTTCATACGATGTAAGGTGAGGCTGCTTCGCTCTCTTGGGTCAGCCCGCTTCATGTCTTGGAGAGTGCTTTCTCTTATTAATAAACTTCCTCCTGTTTAATTCTGAACAAAAGCCTGTCTCTTGATTTTAATTCATTCCTTCAAAAGACAAAGTGCCTAGGTTCAACATCATTTCCTGGTAACAGGTTGATATTTCAACATTTAGAAAATAATATTTTTAGGCCATTGATATGATGCACTATGTGATAAAAATTAAGGATAGGTATAGAAAATTAAGCAAATAGAAACAATTGTTAACCAGAAAAAGTAGAAATTTGTACAAGAAAAAAATGTACATCATGTCGCTTTGCAGTAGAAAAAATTTACATAGTCATAATAACATGACTAATTGTCAACAGCTAAAAAAATGTGATACAATTATTGGAAAGATGGAACAGGGAAAATAGGAACTAGAGGGGTGGATTTAAAAAGCTAAATCTGGGGCCAGCCGAGTGGCTCAGTTGGTTAAGAGCTTGCCCAAGAGTGCAAAGCTCTGAGCAGCAGGGTCGCTGGTTAGATTCCCACATGGGCCAGTGAGCTGTGCCCGAGCTGAGCTGCCGCTGAGCTGCCAACAGGTGGCAGGATGGCTCAGCTGATGAGAGCACATGCTCCTAACAACAAGGTTGCCTGTTTGAGATGGTGGGCTGTGCCCACCCGCAAAAAATAAATAAATAAATAAATAATAAAAAGCTAAATCTGCATCTATTATAATCAGAAGTGTAATAAATGATGTCTGAAATTAATAAATCAAGAAAAACTGCATGGAGTGCTCTTATTGAGCAATATGGAACTAAAGAAAAGTAACAAGTTGAAAGTGGTTACCTCTAGGAGCAAGAATGAGGAAACAGAGGAATGGGGTAGGGAGCCTGATGTTTTTCATTATAACTTCTCTAATAATATATTTTTACCTTTTCACAACCACGAGCATTGCTTTCACTATGTTTTGACTGCAGTAAAATATCCATAATATAAAATTTACCATTTTAACCATTTCTGAGTGTACAATTCAGTGGCGTTAAGTACATTCTCGTTATTGTACAACCATCACCACCAGAACATTTCCATCACCCCAAATTGAAATTTCATACCCACTAAACACTAACGCTCCAATTCCACCTTCCCCAGCCCCTGGCAACCAGTATTTTATTTTTTTTCCTCTTTGAATTTGACTATTGTAGGTATCTCATATAAGTGGAATCATTCAATATTTGTCCTTTGCTGATGGCTTATTTTGCATCACATAATGTCTTCAAAGTTCATCCATGTTATAGCAGGTGTCAGATTTCCCTCCTTTTTAAGGCTGAATAAATAGTCCCCTGTATGTATGTACCACATTTTGTTTATCCATTCATCTGATGATGGATAGTTGGGGGGTTTCCACCTATTGCCTATGCCTATCGCAAATAGTGCTGCTATGAACATGGATGTGTATCTGTTTGAGTCTCTGCTTTCAATTCTTTTGGGGATATACCTAGAAGTGGAATTGCTGGATCATATGGTAATTCTATATTTAAGTTTTTGAGAAACTGCCATCCAGTTTTTCACAGCAGCTGCACCATTTTACATTCCCACCAGCAATGCATAGAGTTCCAATTTCTCCACAATCCTGGCCAACACTAGGTATTTTCTGGTTTTGTTTGTTTTGTTTTGTCTTTATAATAGCCATCCTAATGGGTGTGAAGTAGTATCTCACTGTGGTTTGAATTTGCATTTCCCTAGTGATTAGAGCATCTTTTTTGTACTTATTAGCCACTTGCAAATCTTTGGAAAAATATCTTTTCAAGTCTTTTGCCCCTTTTTTGAATTGGGTTGTTTGTTTGCCCTTATTATTTTGTAATAAAAGCAAAGAATTAGTGTTAAAAACAAGATCTAAATGTCACCTGACAAGTTGGGTTTCAAACCAGGGGCCTTTGGTAGGGCCCTTGATAGGTTTTTAAATGGGAGGCAGTGTGCTACTGTAGTATCACAAACTGTTGAAGTCCCAGGCATTATCCAGATAAAATTTAAAAGTATGTTACACCCGTATGTCAACAAAATCTACGCATTTCTTTGCAAGGTCTCTCCAGCTTTCTAATACTCCTGTCTTGGAGGGTAGAAAAATTCCTCTGTTGTTTTTTTTTCCAAGCCTACTGGAACACACTCCTGAATTGGTCGGTCCTTGTGAAATAATGTTTCCTACAAGTAAACTATTAATTCATTCTGGGGAAAATTCATTTCTAACAAGCTCCTTATCCATTTCCAGTGCTAGCTCTGTGTATCACCTGTGTATCAGAAGAACCTACGGCCATCATTGACTAGAAATGTTACACAGGGTAGCTGATGGGAATGGTGGCTCAATGAGACATCAAACCTGCATTCCAGAGCCACTGCCCTCATGACTCCTTCGGGGGCTCAGATGTAAGGGCACATTTTGTCCTCTGGGCACCACATCTTAAATTCCTCCAAAATCACTACCCCCTGTTTGGGTAGGCACTATGACTGACATTCTCAGTCAACCAAAAAACAATTGAGATGGTGTAGAACAAAAAGCTGAGAGAACAGATTCTAGAGCCAGACTCCCTAGGTTTCCATTCCAGCTTGGCTACTTACTAGTTGAATCACCTTGACAAATCCTCTAATCTTTTTGTATCTTAGTTTGTAAAATAGATTCCTCATTAGGTTCTGGAAAGGGTTCATTTAAATTCACATAAAGAGCTTACAACAAGGCCTGGCACATGGTGAGTGCTGTATAAGTCTGGGGCTCTTTGAGATGACTGCCATCATGGCACAAGAGTACACAGACGGACACTTACTCAACTCTTACCAATCATGTCCTCTGAGGAGCAGGGTTTAGGAAGGGAGGTTGAAGAGAGGATTTTCATTCCTACCTTGCGTGCCTCTGTATTGTTTGAATTGTTTGCTTTTTATTAAAAGCAAAGTGAGTAAAAAATAAAATAAAATGGCATCTGGCTAAGAAACTATAAAGCAATCTCTCCCAAACCTCCCACTAAAATAAAAATAGCTAAGAAGACACAAAGATTAAAAAAATTAATTAATTAATTTAAAAAAAAATATATATATATATGTATGTATATCTCCAAACACTTAAAACTAATGTTAGCAATCCAAAACTTGAAACCCACATGAGTTTTCTGTACCTACAAAACCAATAGAGGGCTGGCCGAGTGGCGCGATGGTTAAGAACTGGCTTGGGATGCCAGAGGGCCCCGGTTCGGATCCCACATATGAGGGCCAGTGACACTGCCTTCCATAGCTAAGATGCTGAACAACAGCTCAACCTGGAGCTGGGCTGCCGTGAGTCGCCGGTGACGACGTAGGCTGCAGCCCCTGTGGCAGTGGGTTGCTATGGGCTACCGTGTGTAGCCAGCAGCCAGCGTGAGCGGCCGTCCAGAAGCCGGTGACTGATGTGCCTCGCCCAGGAAGAGTGCAATGATGGTGCCAACTTGGGCCACTGAAGCAACGTCCTCCACAACTAGATTGAAGAACAGAAAACGACAGTAACTTGTCTGTTCCCCTTCCCCCAATTCCCCAGCACTGCTCCCATCCCCGCAATTCCCCAATAAAAATCTTTAAAAGAAAAACAAAAACAAACCAATAGAGACTAAGTGAGGAGAAAAATGACAGAGGCGGTCCATCTGTGCTCCACTCCCCCACAAATAGCTATTAAGAACTATTCTTCAGCACATTAGCAATTAAAATTCAAGGTCAGTGCCAATCAAGAAATAGAGTAGGAGTCCCCTCTACTTCACAATGAGCTTATTTGTTTTGAGGCAAGCATCCAGTTGTGGGCACCCCTTCCCCATGTTTCTCTTTCTATATTCAATTAAAAACAAACAAACAAAAAAACCACAAAACCCCTGCAACTCCCAAAAGACCCCTCAGCAGGAATAGGGGGCTGGAGGAAGCAAAGGTATCCCTGAAACCAAAGCATGGTCTTAGACCCACCCACCCTGCCCTAATGTCATTCTAGAAAAACTTGTTTGTGTAAGGTACAAGGGGTCAAGAAAACTTTGAGGCCAGTCTTGAAAGAATCACTTAAATATGTGCTCTAGTCAACAAGAATGAGGAAGAAAGGATGACAGTGCAGTGGGAACCTCAGCAAGTATGACAGCCAACTCAACCTGGAATCACAGCAAGAATAATCACTTCAGCAACCACACACAAGTGGGGAGCTCCGTGATTTACCAACCAGGATGTGCAGGGGGCAAAGTCTACCTCCAAGATGGCGTCAGAAAAGAGGTGCAAAGGAAACAGTCACATTATGAACTGTTATTGCTCATTATGGGAATAACCGCTACTGCACGTGAGAACTCTAGCTCCCTTTTTATCAGTTTTAGAAGCTTCATTAAATGTACCTACTATGGCATTCACTATGTCAAAAACATGGAACTGCAGCTATTGTCTTAAAAAAGATACATCTAAAATGGTGCAGTCACTTTGGAAAACAGTAGGGCAGTTACTCAAAGGGCTAAACATAGAGTTATCATATGACCCAATAATTCCACTCCAGGTATATTCCCAAGAGAATTGAAAACATATGTCCATGCTAAAACTTGTACACAAATGCTCATGGCATCATTATTCATGACAGTCCCAACGTGGAAACTATCCAAATGGCCATCAACTGAGAATGGAAAAAAAAATGTGGTATATCTACACAATGGAAAAATTATTCAGTCATAAAAAGGAATGAGTGCTGATACACGCTGCAACATGAATGAACCTCGAAAACATTATGCTTAATAAAGAAGCCAGATACAAAAGGTCACAATACAGTATGATTCCATTTATATGAAAAGTCCAGATTATGCAAATCCAGAGAGATAGAAAGTAGATTAGTGGTTGCCAGGGGGTCGGGGAGAGGAGAATGGGAGTGACTGCTAACAGAGTGTGGATTTCTTTTGGGGTGAGAAAAATGTTCTGGAATTAGGTTTTGGTGGTGGTTGTACAACCATGAGAATATACTGTATTTCCCCATGTATAAGACGCTCCCATTTATAAGACACACCATAATTTTGGGGCCTGAAATTTGAAAAAAAATGTATTACATAAAATTATTGAACTCAAGTTTTATTCATCATAAAATTCATACAACTCCTCATTACAGTCAAAACTCCCAACCATTAGCTTGTCCTCATCTGTGTCTCATGATGAATAACTGTCTTCATATATTGCCTCATCCTCAGCGGGAAATGCAAGTAAAAAAATCTACAAACACTGTATAAGATGCACCCAGTTTTTAGACCCCAAATTTTTCAAAAAAGGGTGCATCTTATACATGGGGAAATATGGTACTAAAACCCACTAAATTGTACACTTTAAATAGGTGAATTTTATGCATGTGAATGATACCTCAATAAAACTGCTGTAAAAAAGAAATACCCACCAAATGTTAATGCAATAATTTGGGGAGAGTATGGCAAGTTGCCAATTTTTATTTCTACTTTTTGGGGTTTTTTTTCCAATTTTCCCCTTCTAATGGGCAGCTGTTACTTCATTAACTGAAGCTCTGAAATCAGGCAGACTATTGAATTCAAACCCAAGCTCCTTCTGGATAAACTGGATCATATTGGGCAAATCACTTAATTATTTTACACCACAGTCTCTTCATGAAAAACTGGGAGGATAATATCACTTACCTCATAGAGTAGTTGTGATGGTTTAACAAGAAAATGCTGCAAAGTGCTTAGATAACAGCCTGGCACATTAGTAAGGACTCAAGAAATAACAGCTGCCATTTTTGTTATTGAGAATACAAGGCAGTAAAATACTACTACTAATTATTATAGGTAGGCCTTATATAGCAGTGCTATAGGTGCTTTACGTATTTTAACACATTTAGTGCTCACAACTATCTTGTGAGGTAAGTCCTCTTATGCCCATTTTACAGATGAGCATTTATTATGGAGTGGATGAACACTTATTTGCCAGTGCCATGCAGTCTGTACACTTTGTAGGAACTTAGGAGCGGTAAAAAGCAGAAAGAGCTGAGGCAATCAGGGAGAACTTCATGAAGGAAGCAGCCCAGAAAGGAAAGGGAGTTGGGCCCTAGATAATCACACATGGGTGGGAAACGGTGGTGAGTGCCTTGCAGGTGGAATGAAAGTTACGGAACAAAGAGGTGGAAAATATTAACATTTAGGCCCAGGAGAATGTCTCCCCCAAAGAAGGGCAGCGAGAAGAAGAAGAGCCATTCTACCATCGATGAGGTAGCGACCAGAGCATACTCCATCAACATTCACAAGCGCATCCATGGAGTGGGTTTCAAGAAGCATGTCCCTCGAGCACTCAAAAGAGATCCGGAAAATTGCCATGAAGGAGATGGGAACCCCAGATGTGCGCACTGACACCAGACTCAACGAAGCTGTCTGGGCCAAAGGAATAAGGAATGTCCCATACCACATCCGGGTGCGGTTGTCCAGAAAGCGTAATGAGGATGAAGAGTCACCAAATAAGCTCTGTACGTTGGTTACCTATGTACCTGTCACCACTTTCAAAAATCTACAAACAGTTAATGTGGATGAGAACTAACTGCTGATTGTCGAATAAAGTTATAAAACTGCAAAAAAAAATTATTAACATTTGTGGGTGATGAGTACAGATTGTGTTACATTATTCTTGGTACTTTTCTGCACCTTAAAAATAATTACTAATCCACAAAAATTTTAAATATTTAATCACCATGTTCTAGAGGAAAAAAAATATTTTGTCCCTTAGTCTTTGACTTTCTTATATGTACACAAAAGAAACATTTATGAGTTAGAAGAATCAGTAAAAGCGTGTTTCCTTTATTCTAACATAAGCCTTAATGTTTTAACTGCCTGTTTTAGTTACTAGGCCCTTAGAGATTTTTTTTTTCACACAGATCTACCTCACCTCTTGTCATAACTGCATAATATTCTACAATAGCGACGTTTCATGCTTTATTTCTCCATTCCCTACTTGATGCCAATTTCCCCCTATTACAAGCCCTGCTGATAAACAGTTTGTCATCCTGGACCAGTATCCTTGTTATGAGCCTTTTCATGCGTTGACTGTTACTCTGAGGTAGATACCGAGAAGAAATGTGGGTCATAAATCCAATTTTTAGAAAGTAAACCAAACAAGAGGTAAATGGGAAATCTTTGTACCTCCCTCTCAATTTGTTGTAAACCTAAAAACTGCTCTACAAAAATTGTGGGGTTTTTTAAAGTAAATCAGAGACTTGGCACCCAGAAACCCCGCTCTGCTCGCCTATCAGGAATCCAGGCGGCTTCCCACATAGTCGGGGCGCGAATGTGGGGTCTCCAACTGTGCACCCACGCGAGCCCATGCATAAGGCGTGCAGCCTTCACCGCGCGTGGATTAGGCGCGAGGTTACAGTGACCTACTACCCTCCCCGCACGCGCTCTGGCCCCGCCTCTCGGCCCCTTTCATTGAGAAACCCTTTAGCGATCACGTGAAAGAGGCATGTCGGCCTCCTGACGTCACGCAGCGCAGACCAATAGGAGATTGTGTTTATAAGGCGGGGAGGTCATCGGAATATTCACGCCCCCGCACCCACCCTCCTTCGGCAGCCGCGCGATTCTCTGGCTCCGGTCGTGAGCGCTGAGCTGGAATTGGAGGCGGCGCGGCTGCAGGCCGCCGGAGGACCGAGCCGGTTACCTTTTGCAGCCGCGTCTCCGCCAGCTCCCCTCGCCGTGCCGGGGGTGCTGTGCGGCTCCAGCCCGGAACCGAAGCCGCCGGCCGTTGGGGGCGGCCGGATCCGCGTCCTGCTTTCAGCGCCCGGAGGACATGCGGGAGAGAGAATGAGCCAGAGGGACACGCTGGTGCATCTGTTTGCCGGGGGGTACGGTACAGGCGGGGCGTGCAGGATGGGGCTACGGGGCCTGGGCTGAGGCTGAGGCTGAGGGCCGCGGACTGAGACGCGGGCGAGAGGGGTGAGGGGGTGCGGCCCGGGCCGGGAAGAGAAAGAGGATCTCAGGCCCGCGGGATGAAGGGGTGAGGCCCCGGCGGGAAGGGGTCCGGGGAGCTCCGGCCCGCGAGACTGGGGGGAGGGGGTGCTGAGGCCCAGATGGGCAGGGTTGGGAGGATAAAACCGAGGAGGGACGTGCGGCTTTGGCGCCTGCGGAGCTGGAGCGAGGCTAGGGCCTGATCTGCGAGCCTGGGGAGCCGCGGGCGGGACTAGGATCAACGCGGGTCTCTGGGGCCAATGCGGACCCAGGCTACGCATGGCGGCCTAGCGGGTGTCTAGGATGCGGACTCGCGGGGAGGAGTGTAGCTGCAGGCCTCACGCAGGTTGGCTAGCCGAGGGGTGGACGGGGCGGGAAGTGCGGAGGCCGAGGACAAAATGGGCGCTGGCGCCGCCTCCTTCCCTCCTTGCTGCGCGGGCTGCGGGGCCTCTTCACGTCGTTCGGGCCCCATCGCGGACTCGGGCAGATTTCCGGGCCCTGCTCTGCCAGGGTGGGTCCTCGGGGGGATTCCGACGCCAGATAGGCTTTGGTATCCTTTCTCCCGCGGTAGCTGTAGGTTTCTAGCGTTTGGAACATTTCCTTCCCAAGCTTCGTGAAAATCAGCCCTCTGCCGCACCCGCTGCTTTTCCTTTGGTTAAAGGAGAAAGTGGGGGGTAGAGAGAGGTCAGATGCCTTGGTGGTAGTTAGAGTGTGTGTACAAGGTTAGGGCCAAGCCTCAAGTCTTAGATTGCCAGCCTCAGTTGCTACACACATCTTGTTGAGCCAGTTTAGTCTCCTCTTTAGGTTTGTTACTTACAGATTATTCGGAGAATCATAACAATTTAAAGTTTAGGAGTTTTTTAGGATCATAGTCTTATCAAAAAATGGCCACGATGAATTATGCTGAGGCTCTACTCTGCTTGTATGGGCATATAAAGTCGCATTCTCTTAGGCCATACAGTTTGTTTTTAAATCGACCTTTTTAAGAATATTAAGGTAATACATACGCAGTTCTATTCCGTGTCTTGATTTGAGTGGAACATATCGACTCTATCATAATCAGTTACTTTCCTTGGCACATTCATTCAACAAATATTTATTGCACACCAACTTATGGGCCAACCACTGTTCTGACATAAAAAATACACTTTTTTTTTTTTTAATCCGTGAGACCCAGTTTAGGTAAAGTTTGCTTTCCACATTGCTGATCCATTTACCAATAATCTTGGCAAATTAAATCATTTTTTAAAAACCCATTAGCCATGTAGATATTCCTGTGAAGATCTTGTTAGGCAAATAATTGGATTCCCTCTTGTAATTAGGCAGTGATGCCTGAAAGTTAGGACGCTGCACATCTACTTCTGGCCATTATTTTAATTTAAGTGAAAAGTGGACAAATGGCAATTATCTGTAAAACAAGGAAGTTATATGATCTCTGAGGCCCTTCTCTAGGTTCTAACATTTCTACTACACTGCATTCAAGAGTTACATATCATTTTCTTAAAAGTAGGGCGCATTTACTTGAAATGTTAGCTTTATTGCACTAACTCCCCAGTTTGGATTAGTATCATCAGTCACTTTGTTGTTATTAATACGTGTAAAGGCTCTCTGGTTAGCTTTTTCTTTAAAAACAGAAGAGGAGACTTTTGCAGCATCTAAACACAAATATTTAGATTTAGGAGCCCCTCCCCCCCCAAAGAACCAGCATGTGCAAGTTATTTAGAGTATATTAAAGGGGGTATTGGTATGTAGGGCCTGACAGAAGATAGGTGCTCAGCCTTTTAAATTCCCTTCCTTGGCATTTCGTCTTGATTTTACATTTATATGTGGTTGCATAAGTCATTTCAATATAAAACCTGGCTTATCTTAGAGAAACATTAGAACTAGAAGGATGGTAAAGATCATGTTTCAGATATTGGAAATAGACAACATTATTATACTTTTTAAGTATTCTACTTCTGCCCTGATTTTACAAGGAAGGGGTGAAGTAATTTAATATAACAAAATTCCTGCAGAATCAACATATTTGACACCTAAGTGGGAGTTTCTTAACTGAAGTAATGAATGGATAGATTAATAATGTCTGCTTTACTGTCTATATTTTTATTAGCCTTATTTCCATTATTTTCACCACCTTTTCCTTTTTTTCCCCCTTGTAAAAATGCATTCTTTTATTCTTACCAGTAGATTACAAAATTAAGGGGAGTTGCTTATCCTGATGTAGAATATTCTCAAAGAAGCTATTTTCCTATGAGCGGATTAGTGTAGCACAGCAGTGTGGATTATGGACCCCTGAGAGTTCCCAAGACCCTTTCAGTGATCTGAGAGGTTAAAGTTGTTTTCATAGGAATACTAAGACATTATTTGCCTTTTTGGTGACATTTGTACTGATGGTACAAAGGTAGCAATGAGTAAAACTGCTGATGCCTTAGCTAGCATGCATCAAGGCAGTGTCACCAGATTGTGCTAATTAATAGTCGTTGGCACTTGGAATTTTAAAAGCCAGTTTCACTTACGAATGTTCTTAAAGCAATAAGATTAATTTTACTAAATCTTGACTCTGTAGTACTCATCTTTATTTCATATTCTGTGTGACAAAATGGGAACTATAAATAAATTACTTCTGCATACCAAAGTAGTTCTGCAGTTGTTTCAGTCTCAAGCTCTTTTTTCATAGGAACCATTCTTACTTGAAAGAACAATTGATAGACTGACTATGCAGACTTGACTATGTGGCATATAGTTTCTCAAAAAATGAAGCAAGTGGGCCTGTTGCTTCAAGGAAAACCACTGATAACATTTGTTGCCATATGGTAAAATTTGAGTTTTCAAGCAAAAATTAGAATTTTTGAAATCTTGGATTGATGGGAATGTAATTTTTTTATATTGTATCAACATTTGTTACAACAAATTACAACAAATGTATCAACATTTCAAAGATCTGTGTAACCCAGTGAACCAATATTTTTCAGATGACCAGTGCATGATGTTATAGAGTCATGCATGGGTAAAATACTCAGAATGTAAGATAGACCAATGGATTTTAGGTTAACAAGGTGAAAAGTTTGGTTATCGTTCAGATGTCATATTGCAATGGAATGTAAACTTTAAGTACCTACCACTTGTCAGTTTTAATGTAGTAAATGAAGAACATTCACAATTATCTGAAAAGGATTGAATCATATCATTAATTAGGTGTTTGGAGTAGTAGAGCCAGCCTCCTTAGGCCATTAAAGGACTTTGGTTTTTTTCTGAAATGGGAGGAGTCATTGCAGGAGTTTTAAAGGCTGGCTCTGGCTACCTGATCACTATGTTTAGAATAGACTACGCATAGGGCAAGGGCAGAAGTAGGGAGATGATTTGGCTATAGCAGTAATCAAAATGAGACATAATGGTCAGTCATAGCAGGTTGTGATGTATTGGATGTAGAGAGTGAAGAAGATTTGAGAATAACTCCAGGGTTTTTAGTTGGGGCAATTGGAAGGAGGGATTGCTGTTAGCTGAGATGCGCAAGGTTGCAGATGGAACAGGTTTGGGGTAGGGAAAGATCAGTAGTTCCATTTTAGACATGGGAAGTTTGAGAAATAGGTCTAGAAGCCAGTTCAGGTGGTTGGATATATTATATTAGTCTGGAGTCCAGCCCGGAAAGAAAGAGGTCTGGACAAGAGGTGCACATTTAGTAGTTATTGGTACCTAGATGGTGCCATGAACCCAGATGAGATCACTTAAGGGAATGAATGTAAAGAAGAGAGGGTCAAGGATTGACCTCTGGAGACTTCAAAAAGAAGTCAGTAGAAAAGGAAGAACCAGCGATGTAGACTTCGAGTGACCATAAAAATGTATTCTAAAAGTCAAATGAAGCAAATACACAGTATTTAGCAAGGAGTGGGTGATCAGCTGTCATGTTACTGTCAAGATGATGTCTGAGAGTTGTTAATCCTTGAATTTAACAATTGGAGATCTTGGACGACTTTCAAGGCAGAGCAGGGAATAAAGGTCTGATTGGAATGGGAGAGAAATCAGAGATGACAGATGGAACTTTGAGATTTGCTACACGGGGAACAAAGAAACAAAGCCAATAGTTTGTGGGGAAAATTTACTAAACCTCAGTACTATACTGTATCCTCAGTATATTTTGTTTCTGTTGTGAATTTTGGTCCTCAGTCTGATAGCTTATTGTTTTTCCTGAAAGACTATATAACTACATCTTGGGCTGTATTGATATGGCTTCCTTCTGTGTTTTCATGTTTTTCTACGTTGGTTAACATTTTCTTTTTTTTTTTCAGTATTATTGGTGTTTTGATTTTGCCTTGTCATTCAAAATGCCTGTCCTGGTAATTTCTCCCCCTGCATCAGAAATACTACCTGAAGCTTCCAAAATACTTGTATCTATCTGACTTCACATAAGTCAGTCTGTCAAGTATATATAGAGTACGTCCTTCATTCACTGTTTCAAGAACTTGTATTGTTTCTTACCCAAACATTAAAGCTTCAGAGAAAATACCTCAACAAATATACTAGTGGACAAACAAGACTTCCTAAATGGTTTTTACAGAATTTCAGAGATAGGCTACATGCTTTGAGATTGAAGAGCTCCTTGGCTAACATTTTAACGGATCTCTTTCTTAGTAATATTTCTTAATTTGACGAATTCCCTAATTAGGAAATTACAGTGAGTGTTACCTGCAGACAGAAAAATGACAAAATATTTCAACCTATTCATTTTGGCTTACAAAGCAAAACACTTGCAGTTGTCCGACAAAATAGGTTTGCTTCAAATTAACAAAAATACATTTCTAAAGTACCTATTATATACATGTACACATGCACACACACCAGTATTGTGGACTCACTCAGAATAGGTTTTGTCCATTTATAAATTACCTTGCCTATTAAAAACAAATGTCCTGCTCCATATAGACTTAGAAAGTTAAAATCAAGGATATACGTATGTCTAACAACCACAGTCTTGGAATCCCAGTTCTTTTCCGTAACCTACCCTTTCCTTAGCGGAATCCTGGATTGCCATGGGTTTCTCTGCCTTGGTGTGTCTAGCAAAAGTCCTTTAAAGCCAGGGAAACTGTTCTGCAGCTTGAGGCTATCTGGCTGACGGGGTTTTGTGTTTGTGCACCTGACTTGGGGATTGATGACTATTTATGGCTGAAAGTGATCTGCTTGCTCTTCATACTTTTACTTAACTGAACAGTTTCTGTTTCCTCTTATCCCCTTCACCCCCCTCCAAACTTCTCATTCCTATGTGGCTATAACTTGGGTGGGAGAGAGCACTTTGGGCCCCCCAGAGGCCTCCTCTTGCTTATAAGACCTATTTGCACAGATTGTTTTGTTTTGTTTCTTTACCCAGTCTCTTGGTTACATTGTGCCTGGTTTCCCCCAAAAAATCTGCATTCTAAGTAGCTTCTAGCCATTGCTTGACTTAAGGGATCCATGGGCCCTTAAGTAGTTAGAACCCTTGGGATGCCAGAATTATTAAACAATTCTTAAGTATTTTCTAAAATCAATGCATAGTTGTATGATTACGTCATTTGCCAAGCAACTTTGGCCTTCTTATATCTTTAAAATGTATGACATTCGCCTATACCAGTAGTTTCACTAAGAATATATAGTTTAGGTGCCCCAACCTGGATATACCAAGGGTATGGTAACATTTAACAGTTTTATGGATTTTTAACCTTAGCAACAGTCCCTTTAGATTTTTTATATTCCCAGTAATGAATTTTGCTCTTGCTCTTCTGCTGTCAAACTTGGCTGTTCTCGCCTTGGAATTCTTTTCAAATGAAAGCATTTAAAGCAACGGAGAGGGAAACTTATAACTTTTTCTGTAATAGTAAAGCTTCCAACTTCGTCTTTATTAGTAATAGCAAATTACATCAGTGACACCGTGCAACTGATCTTGACATTATCTCTGGATCAGAGGGACTCAGGACCAGTTAGAAGACAAGAAATAAAATGAGGGCCTGCTTTTAGGCCACTTGTAGTGGGGATTGTGAGGGGAAGTAGAAAGGAAGTTTAGAATGTTTAACCAGTGAGACTTGAAGATAGTTGGATATCAGAAAGCCTCTGTATCCCTTTATCTCTGTTCCAACTGATGACTGTTAGCCCTCAATACCTCATACCTAGGTAATTATAGGAGCTTCACTTGGCCTTTAAAAAAAATGTATATATTTAAGGTGTACAACAGGATGATATACATAATGGAGTGATTACTATATAGCATTATCACCTCACATAGTTACCATTATTTTGTGATGAGAGTACCTGAAATCTGCTTTTACAAATTTTCAGTGGTCAATACAGTATTATTGATTATAGTCATTATGCTGTACCATAGAACTTTAGACTTCTTCATCTTACATAACTGCAGTGTTGTACCCTTTGGCCAGCACCTCCCTGTTTCCTCCACCTGCTCACCTATTGTAACCACCCTTTTCTTCTTCTGTGTATTCGACTTTTAAACGTTTGACGTAAAAGCGAGATCATGGATGTCGTGTTTTTCTTTCTGTGTCTGGCTTATTTCACTTCGCATAACGTCTTTGTTGTTGCACAGGACAGTATCTTCCACATGGCCCTCTAGACTCCAGATTCTTCCCCTTCTTGATCTGGATTCTTCACAGCCTCAGTACATTCTACATCTCCATCTTGATAATTTTTTAAAGCATTATATTGGCTATGCAAATTGATGTTTGTGAGGAATTTGATTATTATAAATAATAAAATATTTAAATCAGTGTTTACTGCTAAAAAACTGGGGGGAGTGGAATAAGACTTAAAATAATTTTAAATATTAACATTTTTATATAGAACGTTTTAAAAATAATTTCTAGTCTTTTCCATTCATTGTTTTATGACTTGCTTCACTTGACAGAATTGTGCTGCCCACATCTTATAGATTCATAAATGAGACAAGTAGTATATATTTAATATATTTGTTGTGCTCACATCCATTTAATTGTGAAGCTGAGAATGCATGCACCCAGCCCCCAGCTATTATTAATAAATAGCACACTGCTTTAATCTCACATTAAATTGACCAGCCCATAAAAATACCTCTACCCACAAACTATATAAAATGTAATAATACAGAAGAACAAATATTTTCCCCTACCATTCCTGGTTAAATTGCATCTAACTAGTATAGAACAGTGTTTCAAATTTCATAGCAACCCCATTAATGGATTATGAAATGAATTTGGTTGTTCTGTGACCAACATATTTTTTAAAGTAGAATAAAAAATACCAGTGCATTGCATATAACATAAATATTGTTCTGTAAAATGTGTGTTTGCATGTGGCTACACTGCATCTTGATGTAAAATATCTCTCGTGGGTTGAAGTCAAAGATTTGAAAGCCACTGATAAAAGGGACTAAGAATCAGGAGATATTGTTTGTTCTTTAAGTAACTGACTGTCAACCTGGAGCAAGTAATTTTCTCTTGCAAGACTTTTGTTTTCTCACCTACTGTATTATAGATTGATTGGAGGATGTGGAGCAAGGGTAGAAGCAGGGAGACACTAATTAGGAGGTCACTGCAATGACCTCAATAAGATACAGTGGCTTCCACACAATAGAGTACACAGATAACGAATTATAGTCTTGTATGCCTGAAAATTATATAATGTTATTAACCAATGTGACCACAATAAATTTAATAAAAAAAAAAGATATAGTGGCTTAGACCAGGGTGGAAATAGTGAGAAAGCGGTCAAGATTCTGGATTTTGAAATTCTGAGTCAGACACTTGACACTATACACATCATTTTCTCATGGGGTCTAGTGGGCCCCAGAAACATGCCACGCTCTGCAGTTAAAAACCCTTGCTATTTTTTTAAATACTGCTAAAATTTTGATAAATTAAAATTTAAAAATGTATGCAAAAAAGTAAAAAAGCTGCTGAAACATAATAAAAGCCAGCATTGCCCAGTTCCCCTCCCCACATCTTCCTAGTAGGAACTTCTGTGTCAGCTATTTATTTCCTTGGGAATTTTCATCATCCTTTTCTTGTAAATGAGGATTTAATTGTATTATGCTCCTCCCTATTTCCCCCTTCTTTTCATTCTCTCAGTCCAGTTATTAAGACATCACAATTTTTTGTTAAATTGGTAGTCAGTGCTTTCTTTCTTGAATAACTTCATTCTTTTCCCTGGAGTTAATATTTACCCCACATTTTAAAATGCTTGTTTAGTTGTGTGAGTCCTTATACTTGAGTCATTATTGTCATATGGTCAGTTATATACATGTGTTAGTCTTTTCCTGGAGATCCTTATTCCTCGGAACTCTGTCATCCTAATCCTGTCTGGACTGGCTGTTTTCTAAGCCTGACATTTCACTGCCGTCTTGGGGCTCCTTTCTCCCTCTCCTGAGTTATTCTGTTCCTGCATTCAGTCCCCCACCCTCACCCCTGTTTTATTAGCTATCATTGACATATAACATTGTATTAGGTTTACATGATGATTTGATGTATTCCCTCCTCTCTTTTTAGTTGACTCCCTTAATCTGTGCGACACATCCTCTAGTAGCTGTGTAAGAAAGGTACAAGGTAGGAGGTTTCTCGAATATTTCTTTAGTTAATTCTTGTGAGGATGGTAATTAAACTCAGTTTTTCTCTAGCTACCAAAGGTGTTTGTATGCAGTCAAATAAATGAAACATTTCAAAAATTATTTAGTCTTCTGAAATAAAAAGGATACATTTTAATATCTTGGCAAAGCCGCAGTTGCCCACCTATTTTACAGCACTGTGCATGTGTTCTAACTTACGAATTAAGTAGATAAGTTTTGTTCTTTTCATTTTTTTCTGTAGATGTGGTGGTACAGTGGGAGCTATTCTGACATGTCCACTGGAAGTTGTAAAAACACGGCTACAGTCGTCTTCTCTGACAGTTTACATCTCTGAAGTTCAGCTGAACACCATGGCTGGAGCCAGTGTCAACCGAGTAGTGTCTCCTGGACCCCTCCATTGCCTAAAGTGAGAGCACAGCACTCACCAGTTTTTTTTAACCTGTTTGCCTTAATGATGCCCATATATTTCTTTATATTCTGCCATATTTTAAAAGGTTTCTTACAAACTTAATGACAGTTACTCTGAATTATGTTAATTAGAAACGGTAATCTCTACTGGAGAGGAACACTTGAATAAAATGTAATATTATTTCCAAATTGTGTATTTGGAATATTTTTTACATTTGTCCAATGGATTTATTTCCAAAGCTTATTATAAGTATTTTAAACTATTAATTCATTTATTATTAAACTATTCATATAATATTAAATGCTAACTCTTTTTGTGTGTTTAATTTTCTAAGTAATCACAAAAGTAAGTACATCTAATTAATGACAGTCTTTGATTTTTATAAAACATGTATAACTGAGATTTAAAGCGGAGTTCTACTGATTTTAAAATACGATTCAGTGTTTGTTTTGACATGTCTTGATGGTTTGAAAAAGATTTTTTTTTTTTACATTTTACCATACTTTATTATGTTACAAATTAAATTTGAAATTTCAAAACTATTGAAATTAGGTTTTACATGTTTAAACTTAGGTATGTAACGGAATGCCTTGTTGTATGTCTGCCTTATCAGCTCACTTGGGACATAATTTGTTTGAACTTAGTTCAATAGTGTTTATTTTGTAGTAACAAATAAACTCATACTGTGTGTTTATCTTCTCTACCAAAAGATTTTATCAGTCTTTTTCAAACTTAACTAAGTACATAAATAAGTAGAAGAAAATAGTTAACAATTTTGGATTAAAATGCCTTAGTTATATATAAATATTTCTATCTGATTAATAATAGAGTATTTTAATATCATGATTTTAACATTTATTACCACTGATTCCCTCTCAAAGTTCTTCCTTTGACCTTTGTGACAATACTATATTTTTTATTCTGTTTTTCTATGGTTTTGCCTTCTCTGACTTTCCTCAAAGGAACTGTAGGACCCTCTGGGTTTTGTTTTAATTTTTAAGTTTTTCAGACCCTCTTATATGTCAGTTTAACATGCTTCACCTGTTATCAGCATACAGGTGACTTCCCAGTCTGCAGTCTTTGGCCCTAGCATCCTTTCACTCATTTCCATTTTTTCCCTACTCAGGGACTCGGTCCTAATCAGTCTATTTCATGGCTCCTGCTGCTTTTTTCCTTTATCCAACATCTTTATTGAGATATAATTGACATATTCACAGAGTTGTGACCATCACCATTTTCTAAATGTAGAACATTTTCATTATCACCACAAAAAGAAACCCTTATTTATTAGCAGTCACTCATTTTCTCCCTTCCCTCTTGCCCTCCACCCAGCCCAGACAACTACTTTTTGTCACTACAAATTTGCCTATTCTGGACATTTTATATAAATGTAGTTATATAATTTTTTGTGACTTGTTTCTTTTACCTAACATGTTTTCAAGGTTCATCCCTGTTGTAACAAGTATCTTTTTATTGTCGAATATTTCATTGTTTATCTACCCTTTGGTTGATGGACATTTGCGTTGTTTCCACTTTTTGGGTGTTATGAATAATGCCACTATAGGGACATAATTTTTCCATTTCTCTTGGGAATATAGTACTAGGATTAGAATTGCCGGGTCATATAGTAAGTACCTATGTTTAACATTTTGAGGAGCTACCAAACTGTTGCCCCAAGTGGCAACATCATTTTACATGCCTAAGACCAATAAATGAGATTTCCAATTTCTGCACATCCTCGCCAACCCTGGTTTTACTATACCTTTTTGATTATAGCCATCCTGGTGGGTTCAGAATGGTTCATGGCTTCTTAATCAGGAACTTTAGGAACTCCCCCTCCCCCCCCCCCGGGCTCTCTTAGTTCCTTATGTGGCTCATGGATGAGCTTCAAGAAGTTTGTAAATTAGATGAAACTGTATGCAAAATTGTGTTTGCAAATTTGTATTTTTTAAAAGGACACTTACCTTCCTTAATTTCTTAAAGGGACTTATAATACAGAAAGGGCTAGCAAACACTGAACCTTTAAAATGTGCCCTATGATTTGTCATTCTTAATTCTGCTTCTGTCTAATCTAGTTTTATCAAAAGTGGTTCATCACCCATGTCTAGATGCATAGTAAAAATGTAAATTGCTGAGCAATCTCCTATACCTATTGAATCAGAATATTTTGAAGGTGGGATCAGAGAAACCTGCATTTTAAATAAATGCTTCAGTAATAAAGATAATATTAAGATTTACCAAGTGTTTACTGTGAGCTCTTTTTAAGCTTTTTACATATTATTTATTCCTCACAGTAACTGTAAAAAAAGAGTACTGTTTTTCTCTATTTACTGCTGTTGAAAATAAGGATAAGTGAAAAGTTATTACTTTATGTTTTCACAGCTATTCAGTTACCAAAATTGGGCTTTGTATTGAGAAGTCTGGCCCCACAACTCAGACCCTTAATTAACCATTATGCCAAATTGCCTTTTAAGCAATCATGTTTAAGCATATAATAATAGATGCTTGAGAACCACTGGCTGTTAACTAAATTAAAACACCTCCTCTTCCTCAATCTCGATTTCTCCTTACCTCCACAACTTAATTTAATAACACCCTCAGAAAGCCTTCCATGACTTACATGCATCTGTTCCTTTCCCGACTGGGCATATGTGTCTAGTTTATACAGTCTTTGCTATTTAATATGGTCTGTTAAACCTTTTGTTTCAATATAATTCTTTTTTCCATAGCAGGAGCCTCACCCTCTCTTTGTTTTTACCCTGCTTAGTCTTTATATAGTTAGGTATTCAACATAGTAAATGCTAACTGAGTCGAGGGAGAAATGGGAACCGGCCAAACATTCTAGTACCCTACAAGTTTTTAGATTTTACCATAGCGTTTCACTGGCGTGGTTAGATGAGATCACGCTGCAGTACTGAGAGATTTGTCCCAGAGCAAAGAAAGAACCTCAGATACTGAGGGGGAACTACATTTCAGATTGGGATTGCGAGAGAGAGACCAACATTTTTTACTTTCTTGGTATAATAGTACATTTTGTGAATTCCCAAGAAGTACTAGAAAAGAATTCCATCAAACATATTGATCTATAGGATTTGGCTCCACTAACATCTAATTGGGAATTGAATTTGCTGGTAAAGATAATGAAATGGAAAAGATTAAAGATAAGAGTAGCATGACAATATGAAAATAAATGTAGAAATCTATATTATATCTTTAAAACTTTTAGGAAAGAATTTAAATGGAGTTCTTTTTATCACTAGTAAATCTATTAATCTTCCATATAATTTATGCTATGTCAAGAAAAACAGCTTTTCATAAGTAAAGAAAATTGACCAAAGCAGCATAACATAGTATAAACATGTGGGATTTAGACTCTTAAGTTTGCTATACAAATAAAGTACTAGACATTGAAGGACATTGGTTTCTAAATAATATCTTTCTCTTTCAGGATGATCTTGGAAAAAGAAGGGCCTCGTTCCTTGTTTAGAGGATTAGGCCCCAATTTAGTAGGGGTGGCCCCTTCCAGGTAAAAAAAAATTAAGTTAAGCAAAATTGTGGCAATCTGTCTTGTTTCAGGTTTAAAGAGGGGAGATGCTAAAGTCCAGGTGATAAGGATAAGGTATGTGGTGTAACCAACAGGTATCAGTAAAAGGCTGGGCAGGTTGCAGAGTGTGGAGATACAGGAACTCACAGTGAGATCGTTGTGAAGTACTTTCTGCACCAGGTAGAAAAGGCAAAGAACCAACTAAAGGAACTACCGCTAAGAAAGGAGAAGACGTGGGTCTCTGGAACTAATCCTATTTTTCGGTTTAGGGGACAAGCTAAACACATAGAATGGCTTCATTCTTTATTAAAGAAGAAGCCCAAAGGCCTTAATACATTAATTTGTCATTTCTCTCTGATATGTTTTTATCTTAGATTGACTCCTTCCATGATAGAACACTGCAGAGTTCACATTTCAGATTGAAAATGCATATCCAGCTCTCTGCATCCAAATAGTATAGCAGATCCATGTTTCATTATACATTTCATTTCAACTTTTTATGGCCTATTTTCTCTCTTTAAAAAAATTATCCAAAATTTCATCTTTATTGTAAAGACCAAAAATGTATAGCTTAAAGCTTGACATTCCACCTTAAACACTTCTCATCCAGTCCACCTCCCCGCACACACTCTTCTCGCCATAGAAAAGTGACATTAATAAACACTGGTGCATAGTCTTCCATTAATTTTTCCTGCCTATCATTTACATAAAATGTATAATAGGTATACATATTATTATTTACATAAACTGAACCATATTAAATATTTCACCCAATTTATCTTAAAACTTTTTCCATGAAAATATGTAGTTTTTTTAATTGCATAGTATGACTATCCCATCATTAATAAGCATTCCCTTATTGATAAACCTTTAGATTAATTTCCAGATTTTTGCTGTTAAAAACAATGGCTTTTGTGAACTTGGCAGTACCTTTATCTTTGTACTTAAACAAGTATATTTCTTCAGGATAGTTATCTAAAAGTAGAATTTCTGGATAAATGGGCATATGCAGATTTAAAATTAATTAATATTGCTCAACTACCTTCCAAAAAAGCATCTCATATTTTTATTCTCAAATAGTGAATTAGTTGCACTTTATCCATGTATTACCCATGTTGGCTTCTATCCATGTCTTTTAATGCTTGCCAAATAGATTGAACATGATTTTTCACTGTTTTAATATACATTTGTTTAATTTTCGGTGCAGTCACATCTTCCTTGTAATTATTTGTATATCTCTTCTGTGAATTACCCATATATATTCTTTGCCTTCTATCTCATTAGAATGTCCTTTTGCCTTACTGATTTCTAGGAATGCATTGTTTATTCCTTTTCACAATTTGACATCATTAAATGTATCCTTTTTTTTTTCTTTTTCATAAACAGTTTCATTTTAAATTATATTCCCCATTTTTAAAGCACATTTTAAAAGGCACAACAAGGAGACTCTCCCCATTTGTATTTGTTTGTCTATTCTGTCCCTTATTGGACCAGATAATCAGGATTATTGGGAAATAACAGAATATTTGAAACAACAAGCAACTAATTCAGTGCCTGGAAAGCTGAACAATGAGGAGGAAGCTGGGATGCATAAAGTCATAACGGGAGATATTTACAAATTTAATGGAATGTTTACAATGTTGGAAAAAATCACCTGACCTGATGGGGCTGATTTCTTTTGGAATTGTCTTGTCTGTTTAATGATACTGTGAACTACACTGTGTAGTATAGATTAGAATAAACTACAGTATCTCAAAATTGTTTAAAGTATACTTTGATCAGTTAGTTCTAGCTTTCTCTCTCCACCAAAAAAAAATAATGTAAGTGCTCACACCATATTTCCTTAACTCAAGTATGTTTAATATAGTTTTAGCATTACATCAACCTTTTAGCTTTATTCATGTGCTTTCAAAATTTTATACAAATATTTTTTGTTACAGTTAGTTGCTGTCAAAGTATTAGGGTGGGGTGTCTGAGGATGCTTTACATTTGAGCTTGTCTTTTTCTTAATGAGTCAATACAAAAAGTACTTCAGGGTCTTCATGGGAAAAATATGTAAATTAACCTGATGTTACATGAGAATGTAGCTGACACTTTGTTTTTAGATTTCTCTACTCTAAAATTACAAAGATCAGTTTACATGTTATTTGAATCTTACGAATTAAGCAACATGCTTTTTGATAAAATTTAAATCTTTATTTTAGAGCAATATACTTTGCTGCTTATTCAAACTGCAAGGAAAAGTTGAATGGTGTATTTGATCCTGATTCTACCCAGGTACACATGATTTCAGCTGCAATGGCAGGTATGAATATATAATACTAAAAAACAAAATATTTTCTGAGATCTAGAGACTTAATATTGAATTATGATAAATTTACATTGTAAAGTTAAGACAATGTGCTTTTTATTGATTAGCATCCGCAAGTATGATTATTACATTTATTAGTATATAATAAGTTTGATCAGGAGGTATATGTAAAAGCTGTTGTCAATTGGCATTTTGTAATTAGGAGTTTGTGATAGCATACAGGTAATATATTTACATTGTCTTGTGTAGTTCACTGAATATTTAGTGATCTCTTTTAATAGCTTTAAGAATCCAACCATAATTACACTATAAGTAAGTTATGGAGCTGTAATTTACTCTTCTCTCCTCAATTTCTGTTAGTGGCTTTTCCCTTTTTGCTGCATGTTTTGGCTTCTGTCTGAAATGTGCCGGCAGTTCTTGGTAAAGTATTCATTTTGTCCTGTGCTCAAATGCTGAAATTTTTGTGAGTGATGTATTACCGATAACTCAGAGTTACTGTTATGTATACGTTTTGAAAAATATGTGCAGCATTCCATGTAAATCACTAGATAGCACTCAAAATTTAGACACTGGCTATGTGTACATGCTTGCTATTGAAATGTTTCCAGGCATTCTTCTACCATCATTGAGTATATATGATTCTGAATTAAAACAACCAGTCCTGGGCCTCTCTCTGCACTGTCTTAAAGATAAACTAGAAGATTGGTTCCACCAGTATGGTTCTGGAATCATTTGCTGCTATGCATGTTAGACAAAGCCATGACCTTTGATTCTCATTTAAAAATTCTCTGCAGTTTTCTGAGATTTGTTGCATATTTATCCATACCTCACATTTCCAAATTATGCTATGACTTTATAAAAGCAAATTATATCTACTTTCATCAACTGTTGATCAATTAATTGAGTGTCAGCTATGTACTTAATAATGAGTGCCTTAAACTGTTAACCATTTTCTGTTTAGAAATAAATTGGATCAATTTGAACCACTTAACGAACTAAGTGTAAGTTTGAAATACTAATTTCTGAAAGGTCAATAGCCATATAATAAATCTAGCATATACCTTACAAAATATTTTCAAGGCTTTTTTATATTTAGTAATGGTTGACTAACTCATTGAAGTTTTAAAGCTGGAAGGTGGTGAAATACTCTTATTTAAAAATGCGGAGAGATCTTGGGCACGTTATGTAATGTATGTGAACCTCCATTAGCTTATCCTTGGAATGAGTAGGTTGCCCTACATAGATTTGGATTTTGAGAATTAGCTCTTCGGTACCAAGAGATCATCTAGTTACAACTGGAATTATTTTTTAATGTACTTTTTACAGATGTTGAATACGAATAGATTTTCCCTCTACACATTTCAGTGGGTATAAGGTAAAAGTTAGTAGCTAATTTCAATCTGTATAACCACTATATTAGGATCTTTAAGAATGTATTTCTGGATTACCAGTGTTTATGTTTTTGTTTTTTAACCCCAGAAAATTATTTTTAAAATGCTAATCTTTCTTTTTTGAAAGAATTAAAACCAAGAAAGTAGATGAGCAATCACTTTAAGTTGAGGATAGTTGTTATATATTCAGTATTGCAAATTTAGAGTTTCTGAATATCTTAATTTCCTCTGGAACATTAAAATATCTCATTAGAATTTATTACTATGTTTGTATCAATTGCAAAGAATTTCAGTGGAATTGTTGTTTTGCACTTTTTAAAAAAATGTGAACGTGTTAACTTTGTTTTTTGTCTATATATTCATAATATTTCCCAACTTGAATTCCTTGAATTTTGGTTAATTGATAGTCTTATACACTTATTCACATACACTTACTGTGTAATTTGAAAATACTTCTTCCATTTGTTTTCAGTTATATTTTTTTTCTGAGAATTGTGCTTTCAGAGCTTTCTTGCACTGTTCATGAGCATTAACATTTAGCCTTGCGGTTTTTATACATAACTACATGGTTGGTGAAACTGAATGGTCCCACGCAGATTCATTAAGGTAGCCTTTTGCCCCCTTCATTCTTGAAATAACCTAAACCAGATTGCTCTGGTTTTTCTTCATGATCATTTTTTAGAGGTCTTATAAATTATGAATTGGGGGTGCAAAGTGCTTAGAGGTAGTCATGAAAAATCACTTTTCAACTGACTATTCAAAAAAAAATGCTAACCTTGTCATTTTAGTATAAAAAGACACACAAATAGATCATTAATGATATTGCCTGCAAGATTTTGCCACATCAAGCAGCACACAGATTAAGAATTTAATAACATAACCTTGTACATGATTTTATTTCAAGTAACCTCTCAATTCAGTTGTATTTTTCATGTTATCCATAAGAACTAGAGTGTTTAGATCTAAATCTTTTTAGTTAAAAGGACAGTTTCTTTAAAGTGGGTCTTGCTTTTATTTGTTGTATATCAAGGGAATACTACAAGAATTTGTAAAACTGAATTTGGGCTATAAATTATCATGCATTGAAAATTTTTTTCAATTGTGAGACTATTTAATCAAATTAAGTAATGTTGACTCTTCATGTTTTACCTGCCTTTTTTCTCTTGCATATGACCTTTGTCAGACTAAGTGAATCTTAGCAATTGAGGGTATTTGTGTGTTTTTGTTTAAATGAACTTGCATATTCCTCTGTATACACCTAGACACAGATGTGTATACAAAAAAATAAGTTTCTTCTTTCTTTATAGTAACTCCCAATTTTAAAAAGTTTTTATCTGGAATGTATATATTATTATATATAGCATTATAGACTTAAAGGAGATGAATTCTGATTTTTATTGGATTATATATTCAAACAGTTTCTGCTCAGTTTTTTAAAGTACCCATAATGTAATTGTTTAACATTTGCTAGATACCTAGTAGATTTTATTTGCTTATAGCATTCAGTATTTTTCAAGATATATTTTTCTATTGACTTAAAGTTTATTAAAGGTTAAGTTTTTACTCATTAAATAGAAATTTTGTCTTGCATATATAAAATTTCTAAAAATATTTTAGTCAAAGACTGGGGTCCATGGCAGTTCTTTCAGCCAGATGGATGGTTGAACAGATGTTTTGTGTTTGTGTGTAAACATTCTTCCTGTTTTTTGTTTTGTAGAACACAAGAAATTAAATACAAAATAACTCAAAATATTTCATAAAAATGGATGTGCAATATTACTGGCCATAGTGCAAAAGGTGAAAGGTACTACTGAAGCAACATACTTTATTTATTAAAAAGATGATAAATAGTTAACAAAATGAAGTTACTTGGATATTGTTTTTTTTTTTTAAGGTTTACTAAGTAGGCTGGTTGTTAAAGAATAGAAAATTATTATTTCAACTCCAATCATGGTAGATAATGTAGGAAAATGGGATATGAAAATCCCCTCTAAATATTTTCTTAGATTCCCCTTTGACAAGGTTAGCATTTTTTTTTTTTAAGGCAAAGTTGTTCATCTTTTAGGTAAGTATTTGGACTCTGAAACTGCTGCAGATGGCAGAATTTTCAGTACTCGGTACATTTTTTTTTTTAATTATGGCCCATTTTGATATTCCTTTCTTTTTCTTTTTTAACTTAAAATTTTCAAAAGAGTTAGATCTCACCGTAATATTTCTCAAATCCTTCCAATGGGATTCATTTTGTACACATGTTTCTGATGAGGTCACTGCTTGTTGTTATGATACAGAAAAGCCTGTGTCTATTTTAGGCATTTACTGTACATTTCTCCCGAGAAAAGAGTGAGATCGTGTCATCTCATGCTCCCCATCCGCAGGTCACTTCCTGTAGAAATATGGACTAACTTAAACCTCGTGAGTACTGATCTGAGCATCTCTTGCAGCCTCTAGTTATAATAAACACCCCCTGGGAATTTACAATAGCTGTGGAATTAATAGAAGGCGGGAAATGAACTTTTATTTCCTGAATTTGTGTGTGCGTTATCTGAATATTTTCTAAAACTTTAATTTTGATTCCTTTATAGTATTCCTTCTAGAAGGAAGAATGGGGTAACTTTTCAGTCATCATAAAGTAAAAGCCTGGGGTCATCAGCTTGGCCGTAATAGCCTTGACCATCAAAGAAATTGATAACAGTATTTAAGATGTACATAGTTGTAACTGGTATCATACTATCCTGCAACTTTTAGAAAAAATAGTTCTCTTTGCTTAGCATGACGTATTTTTTAAATCTAATACAGTGCTTTCTATTCTCCTGCTTGTTGATACTTGGCTTTTTTCTACTCATTGATCTTAATACTTATCATTACTTTGCAAATAAATGCAGGATAAGAATATATGGGATCTTAGCTGTTTTAGTTTTAATTAGTTTTTTTTAGTTTTTAATACATTTCTCAGAAAGTTAGGTGGGCTTTGTTCTACTAAAGAAGTTAATTGAAGTAAAAAATACCAAAAATGCAATACCACAGGTATCACTCACTTAATGAAATAGACATTTTCAGCAAGTTCACCATAAGCAGGATTTCTGTTAATCTGGTTTTTAAGGTTTACATTATTAAATGGAGTCTTAGATGAGGCAAAACTAAAAAATTGCATTTTAAAAGTTTTTTTAAACTTTCTAATAAAATACTAACCACACTACTAACAGTATGGCCAATATACTACCACTTTGCTTTAATTGACTGTGGAGTAACATTAATTCTTAACCTATAAATAGATCCTACATACACCTGTAAGTCAGAAGTCAGTTTTAATATTTAACAGGGTATTCAAAACATTACTGTGAGTTAGCATATTATCAAAATGTCACAAAATTTAAATGCCAAAATAAAAAGTAATAGGAAATTTCTAAATTTCAGGGGCATCATTCACAATATCTTTGTGTATGTTTGTCTTAGGGAAAAAAATAGGAAGATATGTTTAGTTTTGGCTGTTTGTCAACTTCAAATTGCCTTACTATTTATAATTCAAAGTTGGTGATAAATTTTTGTTTCTTCCCACTTGTTTCATTTCTTGAATTAATGGATTATATTTTTCTAGATCTAATTAGCCTAATAATGTCTACTTAGTTTATTAGAGTGTCTTTGGTAAGTGACTTTAATAGCACCAAAATCAAGGATCCAAGTTTTAACTGATAAAAGACCAATAGCTAAACACTTGTGGATTATGCCTAGATTCTTTTAACCTAATGATTTGCTGGCAGTTGGGCTAGTGTCTTTATTAAGAGCTAGCTTATTGGGAGAGTTGAGCCAAACCAACTATAGTAATCACAAGTTACTGATAATAACAGTTATATGGGAATAAGATGACAATATTCTCTCACTTACCTAAATTTTAATGTGCACTACTCCATAGGTTAATTTGTGTCTGGAAATGAATTTTAGTTAAGTGAGAAATACCTGTTGTTTGCGTCCTATCATTGTTTAATATGTACAGAGAATAATTAAATTATAATTTATGGGTATTTTGAAATTTTCTAGTAATATTTATAAATATTTATTGTAATATTTTAAAGTTTACATACATGAGGGGTTTTCAGCCTCTGAGGAATTCTGTGACTTGGAAGAGCATTAAGATTGGGTACTAAGTTTATATTTTTAAAAGAACATAATTATTTTTAAAAATACTTTTATGCTTATCTTTTTTTCAAATAAAGTATAATGAATTGAATGAGATTTTTACAGACAGGATGGTTTTTTTTTAATTTTGATATAGTAATTCCCAGTTTTAGCCTTTCTAAATTTAATAAAACAAATACATATATTTTTAATTTTCACAGAATAATTAAAAACCATTGAGAATAATACAGAATATTTGTTGGTTTGTGCTGCTTAGTGGCTTTTCACTAATAAACCCCTAATGTTGTACAGACATTTAGCTAATACAAATACTTGTTTAAAAATAAAGAATCATTAAATTAGGGATATGACCAGAATGCTGATGTCTGGTTCTTATTTGCTTTAAAATAAGATTTGAACATCTTTAGTTTGACTTTTTTACTTAGAAAAATGAGGTTCAAGCAACGGGGGGAAAAAATGCTCTGTAACTTTATTTTCAATTAAGCCTAGGCCATGCAAGAAAAATCTTTTCCAATCAGAATACCTAAATGGATTTGACAGTTTCATATTTTTCTTCTCTTTCCCTTTACCAAGAATATATACATGAAAAGAACTTTATTTAAAAATGTTCCTGACAACTGGTCCAACATTTAAATTTTTATTATTTAGTACTGACTGATGCCTACAAAATTATTGATCCCATTCTAGTTTTATACATATGTATGTAGTATTAAAAGCACTTAAGTGAAAAGGAGACTATATAACCATTACAAGATTATTAAAGGAGTTATCAAATCAAACTTTTATTCTGTTTTTCTGGGCTTGATCGATTGCATTTTGAGCATCCCTTTGTGAAACATCTGGCTGTTTCTACAGTGTTAAAGCAGTGGATTAAGGGAGTAAACTTTGAACTAGCTAATTATCTAACATAGAAAAGAAAAGAACCTGTGAGATTGAATTCCACTTTGTATACAATTTAGTAAAGTTATTTTGCATTTGTTGATATACCCATACTAGCTTTGAAAGCCAAAAAAGGTTTATGATTGGTTCTGCACGATATGTTAACTTAAAAAATAAACTATCCACAGCATTTTTGCTTCTGAAAGTATTTTCCTCATATTAAATGTGCTGGTTATAGTCTACCTTCTAAAAATAATGTGCTTGACCTGCTAGTATTTCATAGAAAGTATTAAAACAGTTAAGATCCTTAGGTATTTCTGCATGTAAATTTTCATTGAATTTAAAGGCCAGTTGAATAACTGTAGCTTAATATAAGTAGCTCTGTGAAGTGTGGGTAGCTAATCTTAAATTTTTTCAAGCAATACATTAAAACCCTATTTTGTATAGATGAATCAAGCTTCATCAATTTACATCGTCAAGATTGCATTTCATGTTGCTATTTTTCCATAGCACTAGGAAGATAGCAAGTAAAAAATATGCACTAGGCTAGAAACATACTGTTCCAGAGATCTTAATTTACTGCCTGGAATCAGCCATCTTAGGTGACCACCCTTCTGCGCTGAGAGTACATAGTACTTTATTTAGTTTTAAAGTAAACTAGAGCTACTTCTACCCTGGGTTACTCTCTCCAGTGTCTATAAAAGTGAGACAGAAGTTCAAATTTGTAACTTTGTGAACTTTTGATTTTTTTGTATGTGTTTAACTGGATAAAAAATAGTTTTGTCCTATTAACTCTAACAGAAACCTTACCTCTGATATCATTATTTTAACTGTATTAAGTGTATGTTTATATAAAGTATTCATAAGGCCAACCAACAGTCTTTTCTGTTACACAATCAGCTTAAGATCAAATATTAGGAAATGTTGGTGTTTATATAGAACCCATTTTGAACATAGTGATTTGTGATGTTAATTAGACCCCAAGTAGCGGTTATAGTTTGCATGCTAAAAATCCCTAGAACACACAAAATTTTTGTATGTTTGTCTATAAAAATAGGTTTCTGAATTTAGCTAAGAGAGTAGAAGGCACCCCAGAGGATATTCTGAATATGTTGGTAGAGGAATTTATATATAGTCACATTTTGCTTTTAAAAAGTTTCTTTTAGTTATGGTCAGAATTTGAGAGTGTAGATTGGAAATAAAGTACAGATGTTCATGTTTGTATGGATATAAGATAAAAGTGTAAAGCATACATCAGTTAATATTGAAATATTTATAAGGATTTTCTTTAATAGAGATTTATATAATTTTAAAAACCTTAAAGTTAATAGTGTAATTATTTTTACCAGAGTTCATTTTAAACATGTTTGTTTAGGTTTTACCGCAATCACAGCAACCAACCCCATTTGGCTAATAAAGACGCGGTTACAGCTTGATGCAAGGTATGTTATTTCATTAAAACAAAGTTAAACTTGGTTTCAACTAATTTTTTTTCTATAAATTTATATCAGTGAGATTTCAATGCCAGGTATTTTTCTTTTTGGTGTTGAATTTTTTTATTTTGTTTTGTTTTTGAAATTTGGGTCTACCATCAGAAGCAAAAGTGATATAATGGCTGAAAATGTGATACTTCAGGAAGGAAAGTGTATTGTGTTTTTAAATAGAAGAAAGAAGCATATATTAACCTAGCCCAAGCAGTGATACTTTTACCACATGGGTGATTCTAATTGGCCTCCAACAGCTAAATAACCCACATGATCAACTAGTCCAAGCAAAATCTTTGAGGATCATTGCTCAAATTCAGTACCTTTACATACAGAAAGCCCTGGCCTGGGATTCTGCTCTCATGTTCATAGACTTCATTCATCTATTACCACTGACTACTTTATGGTAGCAAGATTCATTCATTCGATAAATCTATATTGAACAAGCACTGCTAGGTTCTAGAGATAGACCAGGAAGCAGTGGGGACCAACTTTAAATGGAATAGTCAAGGAATGGTTTTTTTGAGCCCATTTTAAGCAGAGGCAACAGTCAGTGCAAACCACCTAGTCCTAAGTTTAGGGCCTTTGGTGTGTTCTGGGAATTGAGAGAAGGCCAGAAGTAGTACAGCTTAGGGTTTGCCATCTCAACTCCTGTTGGCCTTTAGAATGGAGGATGGGGAAAGGTGTTACGTAGAGAGGTGATCCTGTCTGCCTTGTAACAATAATAATGTTAATAGCTTTGGAACTATTTTTGCCTTTCAGTCTGGAGTAGACTAGGCATAACCAATTTCCACTGTTTTTTATATTCAGGGTTTGGGAAGTAGTGTTGTATCTTGTAGACTTATAAATAAAACTGATCTAAGAAATCATTAACAATTACGCCTGACTAAATATCTGTTTTCCACATCCTGTCATATTGAACTGTATGTTATTTGGAGCCTTGAAAAGTCCAATTCTTCTTTTATCTGGAATAATTTTTAACAAAATCTTAAGTGATAACAGCAAAACTCAAAGTTTATTTCTCAAAGCCAAGTATCTGAAGGGTAATCATGGTGGATAAGACAATCCAAAGGTTAAGAAAGTGTGAGATGACAGTCTATATTATTAACTAGCACGGGTATCCTTCCGTATATTATAGGGTGGATTTGTAGGAGATCCAGGAAAAGCATGGCTTAAAACTCTTTAGTATCAATTATAACACAAGCCAGCACAATTTCTTAGGCTTGGGAGTGGGGAATGGAACAGGGTTGGGGTAGTTGTGAAATGTTGATTTAAAGGTACTAATTTATACTATCCTGAGATCAAGAACAGCACTGATGTGTTTGCATGTTACCCTTTGGGACTTGTATCTCTTTTAACTTTGTAAGGAAGTATTTGATGGCAGAAACGATTATCAGTTGGTTGCTTGGGTTATTCAACTAAGGAGGTATTTAATGTCAGTAATTGAGGACAGCCATTAGTTCGTAAAACTGGGGGGATCTGTAGGTTATCAGGTAGGTGGCTTAGTTGTGGTTTTATTTTGTTATGTCAGAAATAGGTTGTGAATAATTTATAAATAGGTAAATTTTCTACTTCTTTCCCTGTGGGTAGCATTTAAATAAATTTATTATAGACAGGTTTATATTGGGGGAAATTACAATGTAAGGTAATATTTTTACAAACTCAAAATTATATACTTATGTAAGTGTAGGTGCCGCACCCTTAAGTAGCACTAAGAACACTTTCTTGGGCCCAGTATTCAATAAATACTTGATAACCGTAGAGGTCCTCATTCACTGTTTATTAGGATACTGAAATGAAAGATATGGCCATTACCTTCAAAGTAAATTTGTTTTAAATTTACCCAATCCTTTTGGGGAAGAACTGGGTGAGTCTGGAAGAATCCCTCAGATGCACAGAAATTAGATTAATCATGCTCCTTGGTTTTATGATGTACTGTCATCATTGGTACCCCAGTCGTTCTTTTTATGTTATTAAATGCAGAAGAAATCTTGGCAACTTAAAACTGGGTGTAATATAACGTGAGTGCTTTTTGTTTGTTTTGTTTTTATCTTGAGCTACAGTCACAGTATTTGGACAAAGGATTTTGTTGCTTATCCCTACAAACTACAATGAGGACGTGAAACTAAAGATTCAATGTAGTGTATTTTGCATTGAGTAAAATAAACTGCTTACATGTTACCCATCTAATATGACAAATTTGGGACAAAAGAATAGGAAATCTAAAATGAATGTTTTAAAATTCCAACTTCAATCCTTCATGAGTTAAATATTTCTACTATATTTTATTTACTTTATTTAAAAACCTGTACTACTTTACTTACATCAAAAATACTTTTCTGTTGTGCTTTTCAGGAGTCGTGGGGAAAAGCGAATGGGCGCTTTTGAATGTGTTCGTAAAGTGTATCAGACAGATGGACTTAGAGGATTTTACAGAGGCATGTCTGCCTCATATGCTGGCATATCAGAGACTGTTATCCATTTTGTTATTTATGAAAGTATTAAGCAAAAACTACTGGAATATAAGATTGCTTCTACAATGGAAAATGATGAAGAGTCTGTAAAAGAAGCATCAGATTTTGTGGGAATGATGCTAGCTGCTGCCACCTCAAAGACTTGTGCCACAAGCATAGCATATCCACACGGTAAGAGGAGTTGAGTTAGTGTAAGTACTGTTCTGTTAATTCAGAAATACTCTCTCAACTCCAGCCAACAGCCCCTTATTCAACCATTTATAATTTCACTGAATTGCAGTATTTATAACAAAATACAGTTCTTAGGAGTTCATCATAATGCGATCATATCTGCATAAGTTAACATACTTGTAAAGCAATGTTAATGTGTCAGTATATGCTATAGTGGCATGGTGGTGGTTCAGCTTGGCTCTGGACAGATTTTAACCCAGAGGCAGTCAGATTCCAGCCAGGAGACTTTGGGGCAAGTTTCTGTTTTTTTTGAAACAATAAGGATGTAGATGGTATACTAGATACTTTATATACATTATTGCTACTCATAAAAACCTGGCTAAGTCTAGGTATGCTAGAACATAACCACAACTCTTCATTTCAAGTGGGAAACAAGAAATGTTAAGATAAGTAACTTGCTCAAGGTCACATAGTCGACTCAGTGATGGAGCCCAAATTTGAATTGAAGTCTAATCCCAAAGACCAAGCTATTTCATACTATTTCATGTTGACAAATAAGTATATATGAATGGTTTCTTTTATTTTTGTCTTTAAGTTTTACAATAGTAACTTGTTTCATAAATAGCCAAGAAAATCACTTAAAAATTGGTCTGTAACATGCTGAGGGTTTTTGTAACTTTTTGTTGTTTAAGTGGAGCCTTGATTTTGGTGTTCTTGAGGTGTTTTGGTTTGAGTTTTTTAATCTTAAGTACTTTTGTTACACTAATTAACATTTACACCAACCATTGTAAAGCTAAGGTTCTAGTTAAAGCTGTATCAGGAAAAATAAAACAGGTCTAAGAAATGAGTATCTGCTTTGAAATGTAATTTATGAAGGAAACTAACTACTCAAGTTGGACTAGGAACTTACCCAGTTTCCTGAGGGAAATCCTAACTTCCTTAAGAGAGGTCACAAGAGGACAATGTCAGCAGCATTGTTTGGTCCTGGCCCCCTGTGGGAGGGCCAGGATGGTGGCCTGCTAAGGTGAGAGTGCTTTGGAGTTTTAAGTATCCTGTCCCTTCAAGTAAGATAATGTCATTACAAGAAGAGGTACAGTTTATAAACAAAATTTCAGAGTAGAATGTATAAATGGCATGAAGTTAAGGTAGGACATGAGATTGCAAATGTTAACATTTGCAGTGAAAACGGCTTTAGGCCATTTCCCACAGGCCCATCAAGAGTAGTGTGTTGAAAAAGTTTGAGAAATAATGAATGTGGAAAGAACATACTTTTCTGTCGGTAAAGCTCTGAATTCTTGTCCCAGCCTCTACCCTCAACTGACGAAGACCTCTCAGTAGCCCCAGTTTCCTTACCTTTTAAAATGAAGAAAAATTGGACTAACTATGATCTTTAAGATCCCTTTCAGCTCTAAATGTTATGATTTTTGCCTAGTTGCTTCCCAGATGAATGGGGCCTTTTAGCAGGCGTTTTGTATTTTAAACACTGGCAGCCTCATCCACATAAAATTTCATGTTGGTATATATGGACCATTGTGAATAGATTAATAATTCTATTTTCTAATTATACTGTCCACTTTTTTAAAATCTTTTCTGCTTATTTCTCACTGTAACTGTTCATTTTTTATATTAACCTCCATTCCCTTTCCTGCTTCTTTGCCTTTTTCTTTTTATCACATCTATTCTTTTTATCTATACCTAGTATACAACTGATAGTTTTATTTCATTTTGTCTTTTACCATTCAGGAACCTATGGAATTTTATAATTAGTATACATGATTTTAGCCAGCTAACTTAGAGGTTTGATGTAAGACTGGTTTAATAAGTTAGACATTAAAAGTCATGTATAATTTATCCTAAGGTTATACTTACAGATAAATTTATCCTAAGCTGGCACTTACAGGTAAATGGGATATGATGTGCTCAGTATTAGAAGGATATAAAAATATCACTAATGTTTAAATAAAATGACTTTATTTTTTTCCTAAACAGAAGTTGTAAGAACAAGACTACGTGAAGAGGGAACAAAATACAGATCTTTTTTTCAGACACTATCTTTGGTTGTTCAAGAAGAAGGTTATGGGTCTCTTTACCGTGGTCTAACAACTCATCTGGTGAGACAGATTCCCAACACAGCCATTATGATGGCCACCTATGAACTGGTGGTCTACCTCCTCAATGGATAACAACGTCAGGCTGTTGTACTATGAAGAGGAAAGACCAAAAGATTCCAGTGGACCATGGAGTGTCGAAGCCAGCATGGTGGACAGAAGAGAAATGGTTTGGGAACATGTAACTATGCCTAAGTGGAAGTCTGGTTGTAGGAATTAAAATAATCGTAACCACATTACTTGGTCCTTTTGGTAATGTGAAAAAAACCTCTGCTGCCTCCAAGAAAAAGCCTTTAGAAGCACTCCATCCTCAAAATTGCCATTTTCTCTCTCAACGTCCATGGGACACAGTTGCATTTGTTTATTTATGGCAGTCAGAGCATAGTGTTCATTCCATGAATACTTTTCCAGTCTTCTAAACAAAGCCATCCCTACTTCTATACTGTACTATAAACTATCCAAAGATAGCATTGACAGTCAGAAATTTCTGACTTTTGGCTTCTGTAATTATTGTAAAATAACAATAGTAGCGAGATCCTCAGTATTATTTTCACATTTCCTTGAGAGGATATGGCCCAATATTTAAAAGTTAATTATTTGGCATTAGTAGTCACTGTTTTGACAACTAATGAAATAGTATCTAAATACCTTACTACTTTTACCTTTAAAATGTTTTGGTTTTCACTGCTAACAGGTGCTTGATGTTTAGCATAACGTGGACACTTAAAATTGTTCATTATCATATGAAACTCAAAATGGTAATAGTTTGGGACAAAATAAACCAGTAAAATACTGATTTTTGGCCATTTCAGTAACTTGAGCATGTCTTCATATCTTTTCTAACTATGATACATGAATGAATGCAATTGTCAATTGTCCTTTCAGCGATTTACTAGTTTGAATTTGAATTACCACATGTCACACTTAGCCATCATTTTTTTAAAGTGGAAAGTTTTACCACTTCTGAATCTTTCTCTGCTTTCACATTAAGAACTTGAACCTTTGAGTTATTTCCAGAAGATCTGTATAGATTGCATTTATTTTGTAGAGAAAATGGTAATTTTCAACTTGCCCTTACAGAGTTTTTTTTTTTTAAGGTGACTTAAATATTTGGGGCAGGCAGTACAAACGTTATAGAAGAGGGCTCTCTGCTATCTGATTGAGCAGGTAATGATCCTAATTGACTTAGTTTTGTGAATGAAAAAACTGCTTTTGAAAAGAAATTTATTCTATCCTAATTTCTTGAATGGTAAATCATAGAAAGATTCAAGTTAATTCAGATTAAGTGTTCTAACAGGATATAGCTTTTACATTTTGCTGTTGAGTTCAACTGCACCTTTTAATACTTTAAGTGTATTATATGTTTGGCCCTTATGAAGATGTTGGCTGTAATTCTAAGAGACTTTAGCTTATGGATGTTGCTATACTGGTGTGAAAAAACTTCTACAATAAACTCCAATGTGGTACTCATTTCAGTATACATGAACTGGACATTTTGTGCAATGGCTTTACCTTAAGAATGACTCTTTGTGAATGCACTTTGTGGCCTTTTTTTGAGGGGGCGGGTAGTAAGAGTAGGAGAGAACTTCATGTTAAGGTTATTTTTTTAAAACTCATGTATGAGGCAAACAGTATTCATAACATTTTTCTGGGCTTTAAGTATGTTTTGGAAATCTTTAATATAAATGTTTTAAGTATTCTATGCACCTAGTGACCTGACTAGAAAATTGTAGCATGTCATTGCAAGCTTTCTCTGCTGTCACCAATGAAACACAGTGCCCTCTTAAATTCCTTCACCTTCTTAACTTCCTTGCAATCAACAGTAACTGGATGTTTTTGAGGTGCTTTGATTGGAATTAAAAACATTCCAATCTATTTGGAGACCAAAGGCAAATTCAGTTTCATTATCTTTGGGGTTATAACTTTTATGGTGAATTTCAGCTTTGACATTTATTGTAAGGAACATGCCAAAAAAACCCACAAACAAACAAAAACAACGGGTTTCTAACTTAAATCTGTAGAGAAAGTCTCCATCTGTAGTGTTTGCCTTTTTAGGTGCCACTTGTACTGCCTAATACAGTGCCATTTGCCTTGTGAAGATCTGTAAATACTACTAGTTGTACTGAATGTAGGACCGAGACTCGCCCTAATCTTAATGATCTCAGTACCCCACAAGTGATTAAGAATGATGTGAAAACCAGCAGCTAAGGAACATCTTATTATTTAGTTGTAGCAAATTCATAACAAGTGTCCTTCAAGGATGAACATATATTCTATTCCTGTTTGTATTTAGCAAGTAAAACTTTAGTTGACCTTTAGTGCATTATATTCAGCTTTTAAAAGTCAGTTTTATGTATGTACTGGAAGGAACAGATCTTAGAGCCTTAGACTTTGTTTCTTTGTGCAACAACTGAAGAGGGACAGTGTCATTTATTTTAATTGGTTTTTTTTTCCCCAAAGCACAACCTGCTGTAGTTTATGTATGACAGAGATAGCTTAAAAAAAAAAAAGAAAACTATATAAAAGTTATTTATAAAATTTGTCTCTGAAACATTTCTTTGAGATCCTTTGTTTAATGCAAATGTTTAAGAAGAAAAACACGTACTTAAAGCATTGGACATTGGACTTTTTTAAAAACTGTTTTGTTTTCATCTATTTTCTATCAGATAACGTTTCATTTCTAGTATAGAGGTGGTCTGCACTCTTTAGATAATTACGTGTTTTTATAGAATCTTCTCAGAAAATTAAATAGAACTTATTCAGGTTAAAGCAGTAGATACTGGAAGAGCAGACTCCCATGAACAGCCGATAGAACTCCAGTAGCTGCGGTGCCTGTGGCTCACAGAAAACAGTTTCTTAAATTCCAGAGTCCAAATCTGAGAACTACCAACCCGGTGATGTGAGGTCCCGTACAGTGATTTAAAATCCAGGAAGAAACTAGATGCAGAGCTTTGTCTTAATTTTTATTATATACGTAATGTTGTGGAACTAACCTTACTGGATGGGGCCCACAGGTAATTGATTTGTAACTTTAAAACCAAGACAGACTACTATTAGATTATTTAATCCAGCCTTTTGTCTCCTAAAACCTAGTGCCTAATGCCCATTGTAGAATAGCATTAGTATATTAGGATCAGCAGAGTTTGGTTTCAGAATGAGTATTTACTCTTACTGGAGCATAAATATGTCAGCATTTTTAGGTTTGTTGTAAGTCACTAAAAATACTGATTTGAACTTGAAGGATTAAAATGCTAGAAATAAATCTATCCTTTACTCTTCCACCATTGCTCATGCCCGTCTTTTGTTGTTTACATGCTCTTCTGCCCAGAATGTTAGTAGGGACCCTTAGGGGCTGATTAATAGTTCAGCTTTTTTCTCCTTCAATACCGATCATGATTTTAACATTCCTAAGAATATAGCTATTTCTGCATTATTTAAATTGGAAGGAATTTTAATTCTATAAAAATACTTAATGTACTAACTTTCTGCCCACTCAGATCTCTGTCATGCCTTTATATTTTTCATTAATCTATATGCTGCTTTTTATGCTACTCCTTTTAGGAACTGAAAACTCTAGTTTCACTCAGTTTTTGTGTTAATAAACATTTTGAATGTGTACCCCTGCATATGTGAACAATTAAATTATGGCCTGTTGGTCGTAGCTAAATAATCAACTTTCAGAAGAGTTGATATCTTTTGACCATTTATGTGAGGGTTGCTATTCTTGCATTTCTGTACATGGCTGTAAATTATGTGCATTTACTCTGTATTTATATTAACTAGCTGAATTTTATTTGAATTGTTAAAATTTTAAAAATTAAAACATGCTCATGAAAATGTGTGTTGTTTTTTATAACGTATCCTAATATATTGGGATGGTGAGGATATAATTGCACTTTCTTAGGATTTATGTAGAACAAAAGTGCATTGCCATTTTCAAGTTAAATGTTAGGCTATCTGCTAGACCTAGTGATATCTCTGGTAATTGAAAGGTCAAATAATCTTACTCTCTCATAGTTAAATATTTTCCAGAGGTTTATTGATCTTTAAGTCTTACTTTTCAAAAATGTTTCAACATGCAATTTGCAAAGAGCATCTGAGAAATTAGAGTCAAATGTGGTTATTTGAGTGACCCCTCCCTAGGTTGTAATGTTTTTTTGACACTTGTAGCTTTTCTTTTTTTAGTTTCAGCCTTTAAAATTCAGCTAAGAATTTTTAAAATCTTAAAGAGCTGGAAACTTGTTAGAATAACCAAATGAATCTACATGTGATAGGTTGAAATACAAGTGACACAAAGTGTTATGTGGTACCTACCTACTGTACATTTTGTCTGTTTTGTTTTATTTAACTTTTCCCCAGTTGTAGTTACCATCAAACATCACCAAGTTTTATAGGTGAGGAAACCAGGACAAATGTGTCATGTTCCATTTCTCAAAGTTAACATGAAGTTGAAATTATTCGACCTATTAGCGGTAATCTTTCCACTGAAGACAAGTAGTGGGTAAGGTGAAGACATTGGACTAAATAATTGTTGAGGTTGTTATGTAAACTTAGCTCAAGTGTTCCAAGTTTAGATTGTGTGTATGTATGTTCATTATCAAATATCAGGAGCTGTGATAGTAGAAGGAATTTGTGAATTTGTGATTTTTTAAGGTGCAAGTGTGACATCTATACAACTGCTAAAACTCAGGCAAACAAGTAAATTATTTCATTTGCTTAATTTTTTGCATTGCACAGACCAGCAGGCTACCTGAACATACAGAATTTGATTCAGTAACTTAAATTCATAGAGTGCTGTGTTGATACGATTTCATGTGACTTCCCAGGAGCCTATATAGATTGGGGGAGTAGACCAGTGATACTTAGAGAAATAGTAGTCACAATGGGCTTTTTTCACTTGGGTGTTCTGACCATGAGTCCTGTATTTACACTAGGTTTTTCATCAACACTTGGGATGACACTGAGATGATTTGAAAAACGAAAACTCTTTCATTTCTATGTGGATTGGCTCAGAATGAAACTGGGAAGTAATGAGAAATAGAGTTACGGATGTAAATTGGAATGGTATGAACTGTCTTTGAAACTGATCTATTATTGGATTGTCGGGAAAGTCATGACATTTTTTCTGTTTTTCGTTGCAGAAATGCGTCATGACTTTCCTGACAACCCAATATATAGACCTTAGTTTATATCCTGAGGCTACTGGGGAACCATTGGATTTTTTCCCCCCAAAAGCATCATTGTAACATCAGAAAGTCAGACTTAACATTAGGTTCAGTTTGTCTTATGTGAGCTGCTCTCAACTAGACTACCATTGAGCCTCATGGATGTCCTGTGTTCTCTGGAAGTGTTATGGTGATTCTTCTAGATCTGGAAAGGTAGCCTGGAGAAAATAGTATAATCAGGAATTAAAACGATATAAATTTGACAGGCTGATAGGTGGAGGGGCGTTCCTTCTTGAAGCAAAAATCAAAGTGTTCTAGCAGACCCTCAGGAGAAATAACCCATTTCATTCTCTCCTGGGTATTAACTCAAAACAGATTTTGCAATTAGTTGGTAGACCCAGGATCCTAAACGTACTCTAATTCAAAGGAGCTCATCAAATCCAGCCCATCAAAATTCAGTGCTAGCCCCCTGTTTTCTGTGTTCTTGGGTCCCTACTCTTCCAGAGCACCTCATAATTTTTCATTGAGTCTTTCATTGTCAAAATAAATAGCCCACTTTGAAGCACTGCTGGACATTAACTTGCAAGGCTATCCAATAAGATTGATCTCCATTGTATAAACTTACTACTGTGTTTTGGTGGCTTAGGGCAGGGGTCAGCAAATTGCAGCTCACGATCCACATGCAGCTCTTGGGTACGTTCTGTCTCAAAAGTTTGCCAACCCCTGGAAGAGCCAATCCTGTCCCTCACAACAATTTAAAAATTATTTGAGAACCATAAATATATTTTTACGTAATCACCATTATGTGAATAATATCCTTTAAAATTTTTATAAATGAAACTAGGATAGTTTTATTTTCATTTTCAATTGTACTTCAGAGCCTGTGGCGCGACCCCTGGCGGCTCTTCAAATCTCAAAAGTTTGCCGACCCCTGGCCTAGGGTATTTGATTTATACCTTCCTAATCCATAGCACCACAAATCACAACGCATCCTAAGGATTAAAACATCAAAGATCTTGATTTCTGCTACCTGCATAATAGGCCAGGTTTTAGGGCCTACACTCCTAATGAGTGCAATTAAAACACTAGGTAAAACATTCTAGGGCCAGCCGATTGGTTCAGTTGGTTAAGAGCGCGAACTCTGAGCAACAGGGTCGCTGGTTTGATTCTCACATGGGCCAGTGAGCTGTGCCCGAACTGAGCTGCCAACAGGTGGCAGGATGACTCAGCTGGTGAGAGTATGTGCTCCTAACAACAAGGTTGCTGGTTCAACTCCATGGGGTGGTGGGCTATGCCCGCCCGCAACTAAGATTGAACATGGTACCTTGAGCTGAGCTGCCCTGAGCTGCCGATGGGCAGCCAGATGGTGACTGGACTTGGAGCTGTGCTAGCTGCGCCCTCCACAACTAAGATTGAAGGACAACAACTTGGCTGTTCCCCTTCCCCAATTCTCCAATAAAATCTTCAAAAAAAAAAAATTCTAAAATCTTAACACCCATAAGTTAACATGAATAAGTAGGCCAAAATACAAGCCATGATAAGAACCTGGAAAGTTAAGTGATCATACCAAACCACTTAGGACCTAGAAACATTTGCTGATCAAGCTATAATTATGGAAAGCTTTTCAGGACAAGGGAGACAGAAGTAGATGTGCAGACCCCGCTTAAGTCTGGTACACTCTTCCATTAATTTGGGGCCCCAGAAACTAGGTCAAGTATCAACCCTTGAACACAAAGCCCACATTTGTACTGCTAGAGTGGGGAAAGGGACACTCAGGTCATGACGTAGAATCCCAAGTACATGGTAGAAGCAAATCCCATTAATTTCTGGAAAAAGCAATCCTTACCTAGGTCATGGTAAAACAACATCAATAAATGTTTTCAAGAATATGAGCAGCACACAGTCAATAAGCACACAAGGAAACCACATCCCTGGTGACAACCCTCAAAAGCAAAAACAGCCCACTCCCAAAAAGGAAACATCTGGAGTTATCAATTACAGATTGTAAAATACAAATTAGTACATTTAGAAAAAATAAGACATGCTTGAAAAGAGAAGAATGGGACAATAAAAAATGGTAGAGCAGATTTGAAAACCAAATATAACGTAGAATGAAAAATAAAATGTAAAGCACAGCTGGATAAGCTGAAGGGAATTGTTTAGTTGAAAGATGGAGCACACATGAAATGCAGAATGCAATAAAGCAAAGAGGAGGGCTGGCCGAGTGGCGCGATGGTTAAGA